ACTTGGAAGTGCTGCAGTCTTTGTAGGCAGATGCAGCACATCCTTAGAGCTTAGACGAGTGCCAGAAGCTTCAGCTCCACCATCGAATTGCGAGATTCAGTGCCTGAGAGGAATCTGGACCCGCGCTGCATCAGACGCCAGCGATTACCATGTTGTTGAAGCGGGACGTATCTGGGACCCTTAAACTTGGCGGCGTCGGCCTCAAAAACAGTGGGCCTTTTCGGGTCGTAGTGTGCCAGCACAGGAGTGCTGACAGGGCTTTCTTGGCGGCGTTGAAGCCTGCTTGATGATCTGGCGTCCAGACGAACTCGTTGGAGGGGTTCAGTAGCCCACGAAGAGAGTCAGCGGCGGAAAAGATCTCAGTGGAGAAGTCGCCGAGTTGTTCCACGAGGCCCATGAAGGATCTCAGCTCTGTGATGTCTGCTGGCGTTGGGAAGCCGGTTATAGCTGTGACTTTACCGGGGTCAACTTGCTTGTCTCTGAAGAATGTTAAAGCCGCATTAGGGGATTGCATTCAGACTGTACTGAAATGTCACCAATGTGCCTGTAATACAGGAAAGGTATGGCATCATCTTCACGCAGCACTTACCTGTTCATCGATCCCATGAATGCTTTGGCAAAAAATACTGCAAGTGGGGGGTCTCGTCACAATTATGTTTACCTGATGATAAGGCCCGCCTTCAGGGCATTTAAACAGGACTTTGGTTGTGCTCAATCTCAGCACGGCTTACAAAGTGTGTTATCGGATGTCAGGCACCGCTGGTTCTTCATGGTGGTGGGCACACTGGGCAAGGATGGCGGTTGTTCTTCGGCTGGCGCATTTGTGAACAACCCGCTCACGTCTAGGAACGCTAGCAATCCTTGCATAGTGTTGGTTTTCAAAAGGTCGACGAATTCAGATGAGGATTTCGGAGATTATATCAAGGGCACATGCAGGCTCAAGATTGTGTTCAATGTCTCTGCCCGGTGACACGTTGGCAGGGTTATCTCCAGACCTCCCGGAGGAAAACCTAAGCGACATGCCAATGACCTGACTACCGTCGCCAACTGACACCCCAAGGATGTGAATTTTGAGCGCACCGTTGTTGAACACATGCCAAGACATTTGTACGGTAACGTTGAGACACCCGAGCCTGACAGCCCTCTGCGACCCTGCACCGAACCGCAGCACAGGCACATCTGCCATCGTCCTGCAAAGCGTCCTGCATGATCGCACCATCCTTGGCCACCCGCCGACGGACGACTCTCCGGAACTTTGCCACCCACAGATCAACGCTCCTCTGGAGTCGAACCATTGTGGAATGCGTCGGTCATGCTTTCCACTCGGCTGAACTCAGCGTTGTGAAGATGCGGGTCTTCCGCCTGTGCAGACGGCGCCAGCTGTGGTACTTGTGGCGGGGTTGCATGCATTCAGCCGTCACGCTTAGCTGCCGGTCTGAACGTGACTGTTGCCGTTAAAATGGCACTCGATTGCACGCTGCAAACTGGCCGCTCACAAAAACCTGCCTCCAGCGTTGTTAGAAATAAAGGCTGTGCACTTAATATTGGGACGACGGTTAGACACTGATCGACGAGGCCGCTGGCGTAATATCTTAATGATACTTTAGGTGCGATCTCCTTTTGTCTGCAGTTCGTCTGTAATTTTATATGCTTGCTAGTGCCAATTATCAGGTTGATGTCACTTGACATCTTCCACCATGACCTCTATGAGGAAGAGGCAAGCCAGAGATATGCAGCGAAAGAGCAGGAGAAAGGCCTTCTTTATTCGCAAGCGTGGCTTGTTTGCATCCTTACCTCACAGGCGCCTCACAGTAGAGCACATACAGTGCATTGAAAATGATCGACACGAAAGTGACAGCGAGAATAAAACGGAATACAATGAGCCAAAGCAATGAAAGGTCACCTGCGAAGGCAGCCGCCCAGGCTGACGCAATCCCAGTTCGCCTCGTGACCAGGCGCCACGGGAGCAGTAAATCTCATGCCGAAATGGTCAATGAAGAATGACTGCAATATAGAAATAAATAAGCGTAGTGCTCTTCGGGGATTCAGCAGCCAGAAATGGGCCCAAAAATTACACTTTCATGGTCTCAATGGAATGTGTTTTTTGGTGAAAGCCTGACTAAACTTGGGAGGTCGAAGACTTCGGGTGACTAAACTTGGGAGGTTGAAGACTTCGGGTGACTAAACTTGGGAGGTCGAAGACTTCGGGTGACTAAACTTGGGAGGTCGAAGACTTCGGGTGACTAAACTTGGGAGGTTGAAGACTTCGGATGACCAGATAACGGCAAATGCTGATGAAAATCGACTTTCACTGAGGCTAAGAAATATGCTTTCTTTTATAGAGCTAGGCTTCAGAGCCAGGAAAGCTCATAAGCCTGTGAGCTTTCCTTTTGTTGATAAAAAATGTGTTTACTTTTCGCTCATATCCAATATCCGATTTCTCACATCATATGGGAAACACTTGTTGCTTATCTAGCTTACCAACACTTAACAGAAAAGGCAAGCACAAATCAACAAATATATGCCACCAAAGTACATTAGGCCAGGGCATGCGCACATCGTTTCAAGACGACGTTTTGAGGCTGTAGACATTGGACACTTTACTTTGCACTACGCATCGTAAACATAACGATGTGACCTAATGTCTTTTATCGGTTGCGTAGATGTGTGTCTGCGTGGATCGACAGAGCCAGTGATCGGCAGCTGCCGGCGGCTTGACCCCGTTCTCGTAAGACGCACGCGTGTCCTGCATACCTGCCGTCGTCTTTGTTACGGCACCGGCCGCCGGCAGCCTGCGCGAGGAGCCTGACCTCCTCCTCCCGGCGCGGCGAGAGAGCGGGCCTGTGGCTCTGTGTGACGCAGCATGGCGAGGACCGGCGCGGTGCCAAAGGCCGCTCAAAGGCAGGACCACCACGGTGCCGTAGGCCGCTCAAAGGCTTGATTGATGCCATAGGTGGGTGATTGTGTGAGGCCAAGACGATGCGTTGTACAGGTTGTTAGGTCAGCTTCTGCATCTGGCGTGGTGGCCTATATTTACATAAATGTCCGTATGTTACAACCATCAGCTTCACGAAATCCGCGTGATTCTTAAGAACGCCTCACAGTGAACGGCTGAAAGGCGCCACGCGACCTCAAATAGCTACGAGAAGTGAGAAAGGAGCGGGACAGAAGACCGAAGAGCCATCACATACACAGGCTTTCGCGAGTGTTATTTTCCTGAAATACCAATAATGGATTCATCAGCGTCGTCGTCATGCAAGGCCGGTGTAGTGTGAAGGATACCCTACGCCAGCATTGTGCGACAAATGACGTATAGGCATCTTTCGTCCTCTTGCTGGGCGTCCCATTCCGAATCATCACGTTCTCCGCTTTGCTGCGGACTGGTAAGTTGCTGCTTCCCTCAGCACCGAAATCCGCTCAGGCAGCGGCTTCCGTTCAGCTCCTCCGCACTTGCTCTATTGTCAAGGCTGTGAGACACATATCACTGTTATGGTTCGCTAACCAAGCACTCGCCTTCCATAGCGATTACGCTAGCGAACTGAAACCCTGTCGGCAGTCATGCTCGAACCGAGAAGCTGCTGGTCACGGCGCGCCGCACCGGGAGCCCGCAGGGGAACACCTGCCCAGATTTGTCTTCGGTACTGGGAACGCTTTACACACTCGCCATCGCTGACGTGGGACGGGTTCTGCTCCTCTCCCGCCCCTGTTGTGGGACCTGTCCTGGGCCTCTCCCTCTGCTGATGTGAAACGGGTCTTGTTCCTCTCCCGCTTCTGACGTGGGACGGATCCTGTTCCCTTGCCACTCCAGATGAGAGACAGGTAGTGTTCCTCTTCTGCTCCTTACGTGAAACTGGTCCTGTTCCTCTACCATGCCTGGCGCTGGACAGGTCCTGCTCCACTCCAGCTCCTGACATGGGACGTGTCTCATCCCTCTGCCGTGCCTGACGTGAGGCGGGCCCAGTTCCCCTGCCGTGCCTGACGTGGGACGGGTCCTGTTGCCCACCCATTCCTGCCGTGGAACGGGTCCTGTTGCCCACCCATTCCTGCCGTGGGACGGGTCCTGTTGCCCACCCATTCCTGCCGTGGGACGGGTCCTGTTGCCCACCCATTCCTGCCGTGGGACGGGTCCTGTTGCCTTCCCATTCCTGCCGTGGGACGGGTCCTGTTGCCCACCCATTCCTGCCGTGGGACGGGTCCTGTTGCCCACCCATTCCTGCCGTGGGACGGGTCCTGTTGCCCACCCATTCCTGCCGTGGGACGGGTCCTGTTGCCCACCCATTCCTGCCGTGGGACGGGTCCTGTTGCCCACCCATTCCTGCCGTGGGACGGGTCCTGTTGCCCACCCATTCCTGCCGTGGGACGGGTCCTGTTGCCCACCCATTCCTGCCGTGGGACGGGTCCTGTTGCCCACCCATTCCTGCCGTGGAACGGGTCCTCCCATCCAGCTTACAGGCGTGGCCAGGGGTGCATTTGCAGCGCACCAGTTCTTTGTCATTCTCCTTGACAGAGCTGTTTCATATTCCAGCAGACAGAATGTCTGCCGGAAGTGCACTTCACGTGACACTTATTCTGTCTACACTTCAGTGATGTTCATGAAATAGCATTGCTCTTGCAATACATCGGCATGCTTTTTCAGCAGCTACTAAGCGTGCGGGTTAGCATGTCAGGTGTACGAAAACCGCAACGTTATACTGTATTATGCTTTTGTAACGTATCGCGAAGTTCGTCTTCATCCGTCGTCTGTGGTATGTGACAAACTGACCTGTGCGCGACAGAGATTGCACGTGACGTCGCGTAGAATCTTTGTCGTCCGGGTTACTGCGAACACTGACTGACACAGTGCCGATGGGACATGACGTCATAGATTCTCTGTCAACCAGGCCGTCGGGAAGTAGGCTTACGTGCCAGGTGCGGCGTCCTGCCGGTCGGCCGTCGACCGTTGGCCGGCGCTGCTGTTCAGAGCAGTCCCGGCCGCTCCGTGAGCCGGGTGGGGAGCCGACATGGTCCGCACGCGGCCGCCCCAGGACGCTGCGCTGGTGGTGCACGAGTCCACGCCCGACCGACGGCCGAGCTGGGGCCGGCGGACGCTGCTCACGCTTGCCTTGCTCAGCGGTGTGCTGCTGTTCAGCAGCGTCCAGATGTTGCAGTACCCGGCCGGGCCTCTGCCAGACGCCGACCTCGGCACCAGGAAGGCCGGCGACTGGGCCGGCCCGACGGCTGGAGTCAGCACGGCTCAGGGGGCCGCAAACCAGACTGGACTGGAGACTGGGGACAGCAGTGGACGGGAGACCGCGGACTCGGTGGGTCTGGAGATCGGCACTTACTACGGTCGAGCACTGCACGAGATCTACGACAGGACGGTGCCATCCACAGCCTGGCTGAACACATCCCGCTGCTCGGGATACCGAACCTGGTGAGTCCTCATACCGCGAGGTATCGTATCTCGGGGTATCGTGCGTCGGGGTACCGTGCGTTCCGGTACCGTGCATCGGGTAGCATACCTGGTCAGTACCCGTACACCAGCGGCACTGTACCTCAGGATACCAAACCTGTTAAGTCCTCGTACCCCCGGCGTACCGTATCTCGAGGTGCTGTACCTGTTGAGTCCCGTGTACCCGGGGTACCATACCTGGTGGGTCTCGTACCCCTGGCGTGCCGCGCTTCGGAGAACCGTACCTGGCCAGTGTCCGCACCATCCGGCAGATACTGCACAGCCTTGGCGAGGAACATGCCAATCGAGTCCAATTATCACCGGGCGTGGGCGACAAAACGATTCGAAAAGAGCACAGTTTTGGTCACCACTAATCTAGCTTGCTAGTTTTGGTTTTGCACTGCATTTTTAGGCGCTGCTCGACGAAAATCTCTTTTCCCTTCGACCCGATCGAGGCATGTTGCATTGTCTCTAGGCGAATCATAAAATCACTGTGTTTGCTGGGTGGTGGCGCCATATTATGTACAACATGATTTGGTTTACCAAGCGGCTGCTTTTGAGGATTGGGCTCAATGGTTTGCTGAATCCTACGAAATGTCTACCATGAAGCGCCTCAAACTGGCCGCTTATCACTTCATCTTTTATGTTTTATTGTTATTGTTGTTATCGAACTGTCTAGCTTTTCTTTGCACGCTCTATTCTCCCTACTAGTTCTGTCTGCCAGCACTCTACTGGGCTCATCATTCTGTGCACGGTATGCAGTCCGTGTGACATGAAAATGTTCTGTCGTTACTCTGTTGAGGTGGAGTAGACATCTTTGGCAGTGGGCGGTACTCATCGCTTGGGAAATATAACATCCAGGTTTCAACTTCGAGGTGGACCAAAGCTGGTAACGTCTACCTTTAAATGTTCATTGCTTAGCGCAAGGTGTTGAACGCGTCATGAACGGCAAAGCATTTATGAATTGTGTCAGAGTAAGATGACCGCAACGATTTCATACTATGGATTTGCGGAAGGCACTTTTTTCTTGATCTCAGGATATTTTGATTTCTCACCGGGTTCAAACATGCGCCCGGTTGGCTGGTCAAATACCACGCGCTCGGGTGGGAGAGGGAGAAGTCTGGCCTGATGTATATATATATATATATATATATATATATATATATATATATATCGAGAATTAAGGGAGCTAGAAACACAAGGTTAACAGGGAATGTAGAGTTATATGTGGGTCCGATTACCGATTATGTCAAATTGTTAAGTCCCTGGAATACGACCCTAAAATGAAATGAGGCACAGCAGCGTAAAATTTATCGTTGCCCGAGATATCCCAGGCCTCCTCGCGCAATCGGCTTTAACCGATACACGACACCTTTGCTAAACACTAGGTACATCCGCTGAAGTACGACGATCACCCTCGCGATTTTAGAATAAACTTAGTGAAATATCCCGCGCGGCATATTCCTTATTTAGCAAACGATGGGCCAATGTCATCTTACATCAAAGATCTCCCTGACTTTCATATTGTCCAACTAAGGCGATGAAGTAATTCGAATTGAGCGTTAGAACTTCTCGTTTAAGAGCTTTTTCACTCTGTATTAAAACATCGTTAAAGAAAAAAGGGAGAAAAATATGTAAAAAACGTTGATCATTAAAAACTACGCCATAGAAAGACACTTACCAGTACAAAATCCGCTTGGTCTTGGCCTTGGTCTGATCCTCACACCTGATCTAAGGTCAATGCAACACATTTTCATTACAATTTCAACTGTCTTTTAATGTGCCAAGCCATGTTAGGGTTGCATGGCTTTGTCTTACACTTCGTCGTTGCATAAGCTTCATAAATTCTCTAAGAATTGCCTTCGCTTAAGTCATTACTTGACTTTGACCTGCTACAAAGTAGCGGTCTCACCAGGAATAACCATTTTTTACTTTAAAAGTCAACGATCCAGTTCTCTACGGCCATACAAAGCTTGACGGGATTACGCCACGCGATTCGGAAGTTACTGTTGAAAAAAAAACGTTAGGGGTGTCGTATAGAGGTTAAACCTGATTGCGTGGAGAGGTCTGGGGTACTTCGGACAACGAAAAACGCAAATCGGCTCTGGAGCCGAGCGCGTGGTAAGCGATAGACGCTGCATTAGGCTGTATACCAATAATCAGTCATTGAGAGCTGGTCGCTGGCGCCTCCAAATGGCACAAACATTGGCTGTGGGACGGCTGGCGGCGGCGCCAAATGGCAGAAAATTGGCTGTAGGTCGCCCGTCGGCGCCGCCAGATGGCAGAAGCGTTGCCTGCAGGCCAGCTGACGACACTGCCAGATGGTAAAAAGCCGGAACGTGGAAAGTTGAACCGGTGATATTGATTGACAGGAATATTGCCAAAGTTAGCGATGAAAAAGACAGTGATACCGATCGGAGAGATTTGTGTTCCATCATAAATTCTGTCCCACATGGCGTCGTCGCTCGCTTTTTAGATGAGCTGGTTGCTTACATATTTGCTACCGTAGGTGTTTTTGGCACGTTCTTTCTTTGGAGTCTGCTGGCATCCCCCCAGTCGAGTGCCCTCGCGGTGACTCCAGGTAGTCGCTCAGCTCCTGGTATGCCTTGTTGTCATTAAGTAGAAGAAATGCAGTACCATGGCAAAAATTAGGTGGCATACCCTTAGGGCGTTGTTGCAGGCTTCCCCGTTTGTCCTGCTGGTGGTGCCACCAAGCGTAGGCACGCAAGCGTAGACACGCAAGCGCAGACAGAAAGGCGTCTGACTATCAGGCGACTAGTCGACCCTCGGCCCGAACACCACGTGTCTTAGACTTCAGGGCAGGGCCCGGCACCAGCAAGTCTCGCTGAGAATTGAAACCCGTCCAATCAGCCAGCTTTTCAGTCTTGTGGACTTCCGACAGTCATGCGGCGTTCCTGCAGACTGAACATGACTGCAGTGAAATTAATCCGTGACGCTTCAGCGGACAGAGCGTTGTCGGGAGCTGATGTGCTCTCAGATTGGAAGGGTCCTTGCAGCGCTACAACTGCATAACCTGATGGGTGAGCCGGGAAGGGGACACTTCGCTGTCGCCGTTTTGCTGCAGGGGTTGCACTCGAAAGGCGCAAATATCAGGGGCTCAGGGACTACCTGGAAATGCCTCTTCAAGCTTGCGCTGCTGGCGTTCCTGCTGCTGCGCGGAGAGCGGGACAACAACTTCCTCCTTCAGCAGCCTGTGTTAAGGAGATGTTGCCGTATTTCTTCGTGGACGGTCATCACAATTACTCTCGCTAAGTAACATGTAAGACAGATGAATCAACTTCTGTCTCGAAACGGAAAAACAACAATTCGAGGGGCCCTTCAGGCCGCTCGAGACCTACGATTAAGAGCCCGATCTGAGGGCCCGAATGGCCCGAGCGGCCAGCCGGAGCTCGTATACAGGGGCCCGACACACATAGCCACGCTCCTCAATACCAGACAGAGATCCCTGCGCGCTGACCAGGAGCCCCCATGAGTCAATAGGGGCCTACATGTCGGTCAGACGTCGCCAATAACGCACCGTCACCTCCGTGTCGGAATGGGCCTAATAGGCCTAGGGGCTCATTCCCCAAGCAGGGATAAAGAGCAGGAGCCAGCGATTTACATTGGTCGGGGCCACAGCGTCTGTCAGGGCCCCACAGCACCTAAAAATGGGCCCTGTATTGGCAAGGCCTCGAGTCCGCCAGGAGAGCATTTGCTCAACAGAAACTGGGACGGAGCCTCTAATAACGGAGGACCTCTTGCGTTGATCGGGACCCTCTGACAATGAGAGAAAACGTGAGAACTTATTATGATTGTTCACATTGAGGAATTGAACGATTCTGTGCGGGTCAGGGCCCCTAGTCAGTCTTGTGTCCCCCCTTCCCCCTCACGAAGGCTTTGGTTGTGCGCCTCCCTGGGCCACTTCTTATATTTAAAGCTCGCCCTGACAGAGCGGAGAGTCAATACGCACCCCAATAAGGCTTTCGATAATAGTGTTATGCAATCGCGTCCAAATTTTCAGCCGCCAATGGGATATTCATTGCAAATGTTTTGACGCCAAGAAATGTGTTCCTAACTTTTCCGGTCTTAGGGCAGCGGCGGTTTTTCAATAACAATGGACGGCGGTCCACGTCTTGGGGCGGCCGGCGGACGGCAACCAGGATGCCGCCGAACGCGCTCGGTCGACCAACTTGGTTACATTAACGGAGCTATATATCACAGATATATGCTCAAAACACATAAAATATGCACTAAAACCAAACAACAAACACGCCTGGGTAGATTTCGTGTCGCTACAAGGCATGGCCTCACATGTATGATGCTGTAAAGCTGAAAAAGTACAATTGCGGCAAATTTAGCGTTCGACCTGGCACAGTGGGATCAACTTTTAGCCTAAAATCATAAAACTAGTACCAATCGCGAGATCTTGTTAAGACTAATCTGCTGGTGTCTCTTGCAAAGCTCTATCTTTATTAGTTTGGAAACGCCATGAGGAAGGCAGCATCGACCCCGCCCCCTATCGCTCCGCGTTATAAAAAACGGCGAATCAAGGGCGAGGGTTAAATGACGGAATTTTCCCAACAGAAAAAGGACAAAAAAACGACAGAGTCTTGTTATCCACGCGACCTGTTGAGGACTTATTCATCGCGGCACATGGCAAAAAAAACCTTGCTCCCACAACGTACACAGTCCTCAATTCAGCAGGTGAATTTTTTTTCCAAAACATAGGTCTCATGTGTTGATTTGAACAATTATCACATATTCCTCTGCTTGTAAGAAAGCAAGGACACTCCTTTAGATCTGAAGAAACATACCCTGTCATCTTCTGCGCAGGCTCCTCTGAAAACACTCACATCGTAACCAGTTAACCACCAACTACCAAGGCAGTGAAACTACACTCTTTTTCTTTCAGGTTCGCTAAGCGGAGAACAATGAACCATTTGGTCTACCTGGCATCCCACCCTCGATCTGGCAACACGTGGTTGCGCTTTCTCATCGAGGCGTCGACCGGAGTTTTCACGGGATCCGTTCAGTACACGAGGCGGAAGTCCACGGACCGTGACGCCACGTTGGTCAAGCTCAATTTCACAGCCGACCACTACAACGAGCCGCAATTCTCATGGGGCAGTGAGCTGTGGCCTTACAAGGCGACACCACGTAATGACCACTTTGCTTTTAGGCTGGGATTTAACCAACACTGGGGAAGGCAACTTCGGAGGAAGCTCGTTGGGAATCATAGGGTAGAATAATGATTGCAGAAGGTGGAACTGTCTTGTTGACAAACTGTTGAATAGAGGGTGAAGATCATTGTTCAGCCAAGCGTTGACTTAAAGGAAGCGCCCCACATTTGAAGATATTGCAGAAAGCAACAGATATCATGAAATAAGCTCATTGTAACTATCGTCATATTTCTGAGCGGGAAGCCTGATATAGACAGTGCAATTTCCCTATTTAGTCAATATGTTCCTTAATACGGCATCGTTTGATTGCGTCATCATACCTTGCATAATACTGATTGCGCGCCTATGGACGGCCGTTATATTTGAAAATGTTTTTCACGAACGTCAGACATGAACGACTCAACAATCGCAGTTTTCTTTGTCTTTATCTTGTTTTGCCTTGTTTAGAAATGGACAGAAGAAATGATGTGTCTTTAACATTTGTAGATTGTGCTCACTTAATTTTTTTGCTGTCTTGGTATGATTTGAAGACTGGCCGCCGTTGGTCTTAATGAAAAACATAATTTATTTGCAGCCTAAGCTGACGCTCAAGTAGTCTCTTAAATATATTTCACCAAATACATCATGTATAATGTCGTATAATGTATTGTACTAAATGCGTCGAATCCGACATTTGAAAACAACCAAAAGCATGCTGGGCATGTTCAAAACTAATTAGAGCTACTTCTCCCTACTTCTCTCCGCAACTCTCTTCTCAGAACAGAACTACTTAGAGCGTAGTTCAAACGACAACGGAGGGGCTGCTTGTACCCTCTGCCTCTTTTGGCTACCGATCAAACGCTCTGCACATCCGTGCGAGTCCCTGTGATATTTTTCCATGGGAGGCTCTACGCTTCTTGGGTGTAGCATTTAGTGGGAACGTTTTTCCAGACAATTCGGATAACGACGCGGAGCTTTTCCGAGCCGGCTTCCTTGGGGAGGCGCAAGACATATTCAGCCAGAATGTCATCGTCACGAAGACGCACGATATTCCATTTCCGCGAGATATTAATGGTATGTATCATTTGTCTTAGTCATGGAATGCATGTTGATTTCTAGAGCACGAATATAAATAATTTTTTTCGCGTCAAATAAGGTGTGGTGTACAGTCCTGCTGGCTAAAATGCAAGAGACTGCCGTTGTGCAGCATGCATGTATTCGTTTCAGTTTGTCTAGAACTCAAGCTTTTGTTATCATGGTGTGATGCACCCAATTGTATTCAAACTCATCAGAGCCTTCAAATGGACCGCATGGCGCATGAAAACGTGGTCGTTGTGCTTCCGGTTCCAGTCCTCTTTCAGCCCGTGGGAGGGGAGGGGGAGGGGGAGGGGGAGGGGAGTAGCAGGTGTCGATCAATCCCGTCCGATCGCCAGAGACACCAGGCAGCGTAGCATGGCGTGTCACTGCCAGCGGACAGTTGAACATCGGGCCAGTCGGAATTCGGCTTGTCGCGGCGAGGTGCAACGCACAATGGGCGGGGAAAGAATCGCGAATGCTTAGTAGAAATGCGTAGTCTACCGAAGTAGAAACAACGCGCAATGCGTAACAACAGTGCAGTGCACCTGGACACAAACTTGTCTCTAGTGTCGCTACCTCGTTGTTGGCGAGGTAACGAACGCTGCACGGAGTGCCACGCCTCGCAGATACGGCGTACGAGGGTGTTCCGAGCAAGGCGAACCTGGCGGCGTACCCGATGGACATCACAACACGGCGATCGATCCTCGTCATCCGGGACCCATTCAGCGTCATGGTCTCATCGTGGCACTACCAGTTCTCCAGCTCTATCCACGTGGAGAATGACGCTCACCCTCGAGACCACTTTCGGGGAGCAGGTGAGACGTGACCTTCGGACGCGAGTATGAGCGGGTTATGGGGCGCCTGAGGGCACAGCGAGAGACTGCAATGCTCTGCTGTGCTTTTTTAGCTATATATGTGGCATAGGGGCACTGGGCTGCTTGAAACGCTGGATTGTTGAGGTCAGGATTTTAGTAAAGTGTAGTCTGTTACTAAGTTTCACTTTGCATTGAGTAATTTTTTTTACAGCGGAATTGAATTTAAATGTGGTTATCTGGAATGGATTTGGTCCTACTAGTACCAACAACAATTATGTGAAAATGCATCATTATGTAGAAATATCAACGTTCACCTTATCAAATAGCAATGACATACTTCTGGACGTAAACATCATTATTTTCAGACATTGCGGAAAACAAAGCTCCAGCCGTTCCGCACATTTCTCCGGTTCGAATTTATACCCGAACTTATCCCCATCCCGTCGCCATTTTGTCCGTCGATCTTTTTGGATTCGACTTCTGTGCCTATCCATTTCTGTCGTTGGACTCCTTTCGTTCCACCTTTTCCGTTCAACATTTTACAATCGGCTTTTTGTCTGGACACCATGTATATTTGCTGTTTGCCCATATTGAACTAGCACGACATTTTTTAGTCGCGTTATGACTGGCCATCATGCTGATCTAGTCTGCCTGATGCCATTGTTGAAGGTAATGCAGGCACCTTAATTGCACAGCGCGCTGTGAGCAGGACCCGTGATGAATATGCAGCAATGTTACAGCATACCAGGGTCAGCAAGAAAATTGCAAATTTACCATTGGGGTTGTGCGTGCGTGCGTGCGTGCGCGCGTGCGTGCGCACGTGCTTGCATGTGCGTGTGCACGGGCGCGGGCGTGTGTGTGTGCGCATGCTTATGCACGCGCGTATGTGTGTGTGTTTTGAAAACCTCACATCACACAGCTATTCATCACCACCACAAAACACTTCAAGTCCTAACATATTTGGTAATCTTTCCAGCTTGGCAAGACTTTGTTGAGTATCACGCAAAGCACTGGCTCCGATTCAACACACGTTGGCTCGAACAGATTGATGATCTTCTTGTGATAAGCTACGAGGTCTTAAAGGTAAGTCATTACTCAAACGTCTTGCCCACGGCTCTCCACATTTCCAATACCCGTGTCAGCTTAATGTATCACGCATCTGTCCAGACGATACATGTCAGAGTGAGTGTGCCTCGCTTTGTGAGCTCCAGAAAATACATTCAGTAAAGACTTGCAGCTGTGGGGAGTAAATGCGGTATTTGGTCTTATTTAGCGTAGGGAGATGACTCGCGCGATTAAGCTGTGCAGAAATGAAGCAGCCAGCTGAAAGATTGTGCGGTCTCAAAAACTGTTTTTAGCTTGCACCAAAAAGCACCTTCCCTGCGCCTGACGGCCAGCTTGGCATTAAAAAGACGGGGCACGCCTATTAGGTAATTATTTACAAACTTCTACATGCGTCATGTTAAGCATGTTTCGGGGTGGTTCTGCCACCAGTTCCAACATTTATGCGAGATATGTCGACGACATATCTGTTGACATGTTTCGAAGTTTGTTTAGAAGCTTCTCTTCACGAATGCTGTTGCGTTTTGAGCTCATGAGAATAAAACAAATCCAACGAACGAAAACTCGAATTTCCAAGTGGACGAATCCATCAACATCCTGCGATATCAGTACGACACGATATGAAATGGAAATACGGGGGACAAAAGTATTTTAGGAGACAAAGGCTACACAAAAGGGTGGCATTAAGCTTTTCTACAGAATTAATTGAGCTTAGCATATAAAGTGGGCGGTCGCGTCATCCAGCGATTCATCACGGAGAACGTGTCTTGCACTGATATAGCCCAAACCTAAAACTGATTATATATCACGAGTGCAAAATGACGTAATAGCGCAGCATAACATACCACTAGGCCAAAGACCAACTGAAGACATCAAATGTAATATTCCGGTTGTTTGCCCTGATGAAGATCGCAGACTTAACATCGTAAGTGACATAAGCATTACGACCACATATCCCTCTAGCCTGTGGAGGAGTGGGTGGATGTTCAGGGACTCTATAACCATCTCGATGCTAGTGCTTCAGCCAGTTGCCGCTTCTCCACTCTGTCGACATCATCTTCCGGTCCGACTGAGCGAGAGTGACCCGGCCCCTGTGTCGCTTTCTGGCAGTTGTTTTCTGGTGATTCGCAATCGTGGTCGCAATGCGTTTCAGCCTGCTTTTTCCTCCCTGGCCACCAGCTGTCGAATGGTGTAACGTTGGCCTCGCGTTCATTCCAAAAAACGAACTTCCGACTCCTGGTTCGAAATCAAAATAAGCACGAACCGTGGGAACTTCTGTGGCCTCTGCTTGTCGTCAGCTGCTTTATCGTAACTCCCCGTGACCTCTGTGTGCTGTCATCTGGACTATGTGACCTCTCCGTGACCTCCGTGTGCCGTCGGTTGGACCGCGTGACCTCCCCGTAACCTGTATGTGTTGTCAGCCGGGTCGTTTGACCTCGCCGTGACCTCTATGTTTTGACCTTGATGACCTCTATGACCGTCAGTCGGAACCGTGGACCCAGCTGCAGCGGGTGCACACCTTCCTGGGCGTGTCGCCGGACCCCGGGCGGATGCGGTGCGTGCGGCAGCACGGCGAGGGCGTCGCGCACAACCGGCGCCACCCGGTGCGGGCCGAGCTGGTATACTCACGCCGCCAGCAGTTCGTCGTGTGGACGGCCATCCACCAGCTACAGCTGGAGCTCAGCCGACGCCGGCTGCCGCCGCTGCCGCTCGACCGCTTCCTCTTTCAGGAATTCCGCTTCTCCGGGGTCCCGGCGGCTGACGGCGCCGGTAACGTCACCGGCGCCACCGGTGACGTGACCTACGCCACCGGCGACGTCATCGACGTCAGCTGAGCGCTGAAGCGTTCAAGCCCGCGTAGGCGGCGAGGTTTAATAAGGACGGGAAAACTGTCCTGGTGCGGCCATGGAGGCAAGAGCAAGATCAGCGTTGCGTTATGCTCAAGGTTTAAATCGTAACTGCGTTGCGCTTTGAGTGCAGTGCTACGCACGGGTGCGTGCCACCAAGAGATCAGAAACGCCAAAGCTTTTAGAGAAGGGAGTGTCAGCACGTGATCGCTGCCCACGTACGAGTGCTATGCACTCATGCTCTGATGTGGAGCAGTCGTCAGTTAAGCGTGTTACCTTGTATGCTCAGGTGTCAGTGCGTTGACCCGGTACCTGAAATACATCTGAGATCTTAAATGGGGAAGTCTGCATTTTAGCTTCTGATTATTCGAGAACCGTCCGTGATAAAACTTCAAAACCTCGCATGCTCGGTATCAGTGTGGTGAGAGGACAGCTTATGACACGCTTTGGGCAGGTCAGACCACCGTGCGTGGTGCGGTGCAAGCAAGCTTACCTCACCAAGCTAGCATTGGTGACGCTCAGCTCCACTGCATGGAAAGTTATCAGGGTAACGAATAATATCTTTTGCCGCGCGCTAATCAATTGCATATCAAACAAGATGAAATTTGAAACAAATTTGTGAAAAAAACTACTGAAATGATAATTCGGAAGTAGGCAGAGAAACATTTTAGAGCAAACAAAGCTTTCAAACTCAAAGCAGTCTTGTACGATTTTGGTCACCACGAATTTCGAAATGTCAAACAAGGTCATTGACCTTAGATGAGTTTGCAACCTTTTGCTTAGAACAGGTATCTGGGTTCCGGGACACTTCGAAGACCACCCTGATGTTTGACCTTGTTTGACCTTATTTCACCCTTAGGTCATGACCAAAGAGCTTAAAGCTTTGAAGTTAGTGAGATGACATACACACCAACACATTCTGTAAATTTGGCGTCTCTAGCTCCCTTAATTCATGAAATCTCAGGGGATCAACTTCATCCTCCGCCCGAGCGAAGGGATAGATAGCACAAGATAGCTAGTGCAGGTGAATGACGGAGAACACAAGAACACCGTCACATACCGGTATTTGTGGCTCCATTCACTCTCGTCACCTAACCCGTGCCGAGTTCCGCTGTAAATCGCATTTTCGTGAAAGCAGTCGGCCTTCAATCGTGATAGCGTCTATCCTTCACAGTCTCATTGAAGCTGACAAAGTAGACGGCGTGCAAAACGTAACGTAAGGTTACAAAGCAAAATTTTAATAGCATATGTCGCCAAAAACAAGATCAAAAGACAGCTGGGCCTGATGCAAATAGCCATTGGTGTAAATCTGCGGCCGGTGCATATTCGACGAACGTCCCGTTCAGTACATTCACGTATAGTATGCAGTCGGTTTCATAGTCTTAGCATCCGTAGTTACCTAGATCTAGCTCAATCCTTCAAAACACCCCTGGTCAATAGATTCATGATTCACGGCCAAAGGCGACGAAAACATCTTCGCATCGACCAATGCTTTGAGTAATACATATTGTTCTGTTTCCCTTTCGTTAGCACGCGCTTGGGTGGGGGTCAAATTGACCCCGCCCACGAAGGTTTTCCCGGAATGGTTTCCGAACGGCGCGGTGTAGCCACGCCAAAATTTGCACAGCTGTAGGCGATTATATAGCAGATCGTCTGGCATTAAAAAATTGAGATGTACATCGTAAGGTTGCTGACCTATACCAGGTCAAAATCTGGCCATGGTTTCAGCAAAGGCAATTTCCAGAGAATCGTTCAATCTGATCCAGCAACGGATTGTTAGACAAAGCCATACATATTTGAAACACTTTCTTGGGCAACTTAGCAATTGACTGAACAAATTAAATTGACCTAGGGTCAAGTATGAAGGTCAGACCAAGGTCAAAATCAACCTGTTTTATTACTGTAAGGCTTGCTGTATGGGGTAGTTTCTGGTGCTCATTTCAGATTTATTGATAACAGGAACCAAATTATACACCTTCCATGGACTTTTTAAAGGTGAGATTAGTTCATTAACATAAAATGACCTAGTTCAACACTTTGTTTTTAAGAACATACTGCCTAGTGTAACCTTTGTCGCTTTTTCAAATACAAAACTCAAAGCAGCTTTGCATGATTTTGGTCATCATGACCTTCAAAAGGTCAAGCAAGGTCGCTGACCCTACGTGAGCGTGTCATCCTTCGCTTAGAACGGTTATCTACGTTCTAGAGGCCCTTTGGAGACCAACCTGAAATTCGATCTTATTTGGCCTTAGTTAACCCAAAGATCATGACCTAGGACCCTCAAATTTTGACCTAGGTGAGTTCACGTACAGGTCAACAAACCCTGTGAATTTAATGTGTCTAGCTCATTTAGTTCCTGAGATCTTAGCAGGGTTAAATTGACCCCCCCCCCCCTGAGCGAAGGGTACCCAGCCGGCCACCCGGACGCGTTTTAAGCTAATCAGTTTAAGCATTATTTCCATAATAGATAGGCGGAACGTACAAAAGTATTGTATTATGTAGCACAAGACGCACTTCGTGTTAAAATCCTGTATAGCTTGCAAAACATTGGTTAAGAGCCAATTAATGGTCATGATGTCTGGAAACCGTGATCATAAGCAGCAGATACCTTCAAAAGGTAAAACATTTTGACTTCTGTGACCTTGTTGACCTTCAAAAGGTCAAAGAAGGTCACTGACTTTAGATGAGCTTGTGACCTCTTGCTAGAACAGCTATCCAGGTTCTAGAGGCCCTTTGAAGACCAACTTGTAATTTGACCTTTTTTAACCTTATTTAACCCGAAGGTTATGACATAGGAACCTCAAACGTTGACCTCAGTGAGTTTACGTACAGGTCAACACACCCTGTGAATTTGATGTCTTTAACTTAGTTCCTGAGATGTTTGGAGAGTCAGATTGACCCCCACCCGAGAGAAGGATATTTAGCCGGCCACCCGGGCGCGTGTTAAGTACAGTTTCTCCTGAGCCACTGCAGCCGAGACTTATGGAAACCAGCGCCTCGCTTCATCCTGGGTTATTCAGCCTTTTCGCGCTAATCAAGTTTTCATTTCCAAGTTCAGTGAGGCTGGCCGGTGGATTTTCGTGATGTTGCAATGCTTCAAGAAACTCTGATCTGATCCAACAGCTTAAAAGAGATTACCTTCATCATAAGTTTTGCGCGTTGGTGCCTTTCAAAACTACCTTGCGATACGATCGATGAGTGCATAGACACCAACCCATTAGAGGCATGACTGGCAGAATCAGGCCTCTAAAGATACTCAGCTATGGTTAGTCAACACTCATACCAGCTCGGTCCTTGACATTATTTGCAGTTAATCACGGTATTGTAGCTGATAGCATCCCCACCAAGAAAATGACTCAACCCCAATCAGAATACAAAGCATTTTGGCTTCGCCGTGGCGTAAAACGACACGAAAAGGTCGGGGTAACATTCAAACATTTCTTCTTCTTTTGACATGCACCTCATCTCAGCGGTCAGATGAGCAGCCCGACAGCGGCAGCCGGCGTCGACAGCTTCTGCCCCGTGGCTGTGGCAGCCAGCGTCGACAACCTCTGCCCGTGACTGTGGCGGCCGGCGCGGCCAGTGACCGGCCTCGCGTGAGGCAGAGTGGTGCTGGGCTGGGAAGGGGTGCAGCCGCTGACCGCCCGCACGGCCGTTGCCGGTTACGGAGACAGCGCCCGCTTTCCGTGCCAGCTCTCAGCCACGTCCGACGAGAAATAAGTACACAGCTCTGGGCGTTGATCACATTCGCTGTGCTCCTCTTGTGTGCAGAGGCTGCCACGTTTCCGGGCTCCCGTCGAGTCTGGTGCCCGCGGACCGCTTCGCCGTCGGTGGGCAGCTGGTGTGTCAACAGCAGGCAGCTCTGGAGCGGTGACGCGGCGGGAAGCTGCTGGCGTTTGCTGCAGAACAGCGCGTCGCTGTGCGACCCCATCAGACGTCAGCACGCCCTGACATCTGATGATGTCCGGCTGCCACCGCTCTGCTGGTGTTCCCGGTCGTCACTGTTGCGCGTGATGTGGGTCGCACTGCTGCGCTGCTGTGGGTCGCATTGCTGTGCTGCTGTGAGTCGCACTGCTGCACTGCTATGGGTCACACTGCTGTGCGTTGGTGGCATCTCAGATGTCTCTGGCTTGCGCGGGGCCCAGAAAAGCAGATACACGGGCCAGCTGGGGTTAAGTGCATAAGACGCCACGCGTTGCATAACGATCGCGATGTTTCAGCCAATGCCGTTTGAAGTACAACTATGTTGCCTCTATCAAATGGCGCCGTAAGACATTTGTGAAGCGCACTTTCATGGTCTGAAGGCTATGGGTAGCTTTTACGAACCAGGTGACTGAAATAAAGGATGGGGGAGAAAGTGTGAAAATCACACCACCTGGGACGGAGTGCACCAACGGTATTTTAGCTGCGCACTCTGGTCGCTGGCTGTTCTCATCAGCTCGAAGCTCATAGCAAATGCATGTGCAGCACATTTACATAACTCGTCCAGTTTTATGTTCCAGCTTTTTTTGGTGAACAACTCCAGCAACCGTTTCACTCAGGCGTTCATAACTTTAGATAAACGTAAGCGTGGGTGATAACAGCAGCTCTTCCTGTTTACACAAAGCTTACCAGCAATAACCTTTGCACATAACCAGCAGATCACCCCCCCCCCCCCCCCTCCCTCTCCCTACCATCACACATTCGGCTATAGGAGGCCTCACACAGGCAACGACCGCTGAGTGATCCAGAACATAGTGCGGGTAGCACGGCACAAGCAATTCCAATGCTTTCAAGGTCTTTATTTTTTCTCCTTTTCCTACTCACTGGGAACACGGCACAGCCACCCGCCCAGATGCCGCCGCAAAACACTCTGATGAGCGGAAATCAGAGCCTGGCTGGCATCAAAGAACAAACATGAAAAAACAACCAAATTTTTGAATGGAAGGATTTCTGGGATCAGAGCTCATGCTATATAGTATTTGTTATCTGAGTCCTCATCAATCTCACCCGAACGTAAATTCCAGAGCCACGGCAGAATTTTGTGGCGGAAGTTTTACGTACTGCCATGTTCGGCACGATCCGTCCTGGTCACAGACGACATCTGATGTTAAGCACGGTCACTGCCACCGGCCGCAGACCACGCCTGCCAACGACAAATAGCGCGGGCGCACAGTACCTCGACCCCACCCGCCTCTTGTGGGTGGAT